AATGTCACCCCACATGGAGCTGTTGGCACAGCTGGACACAGCTGGCAAAGAAGACAGGACTCCAGGAGACCCTGCTTTCAGACTGCTGGGGCACCCAGTACCAATACAATGGCCCCAAGGGATGTCCTCCTGTTGAGGGGAACAGTTCAGGCCATCTTACCTTAGTGACCTCAAGCAATGGTGGGCTGTGGGAGCTGCCTCCCCCGACCAAAGCCCAGGACAGTGAGTGTAGGACCGCTGGCTGTGGTCATGAGAAAAAGGAAAAGCTAGCAGTCGTTCACTTTTCTTTTTTGGGACAGAGACTTAAGCATCCCAGGCTGGCCTGGAACTCTGTGAAGCTGAGGATGATTTTGAACTTCTGATCCTCCTAGCTTTACCTCCTAAGAGCTGCGATGACCAGTGTTCACCACCGTATCTAGTTTATGTGGTGCTAGAGACCAAACGCAGGTGCTTGTGCATGCTAGGCAGGCCGTCTCCCAACAGAGCTAATCCCTCACCTCTAGCAGCCTAGTAGGGGGCGGCACGGAGTTTCTGGGCATCTCTTTGATATTTAAATGGTTCAGAAGCTGCATGAGGTAGCTTCAACCTCAGCACTCCCATGGCTGAGGCAGGAGGATTGTGAGTTCAAGGCCAGCACAGATCCTGTCTCACAACCTTCATGACTTTTCAAATCTTGGACAAGTAGCCTTTCTGGCCTTCCGCAATGACCCAAAGGGATTTTGTCTAAATTGCAGACCCGTTTATATTATAGCTCAGTGAATATGTGCCTTCCACATGCCCTCCACTGTACCAACACCTCAGGACTCACGGAGACCTGTGGCATACCTCTCACCACGACACTTTACAAGTGAGGAAGCTGATATCTCCCAAGTCAGGCTGGCAGCTGTCCAGGTAGCCAAGGGAACTGGTGGTAGGGCTGATGCATCTTCCCTAGGTGTAGACTCCTGTGGGCTCCTAACCCCTGTCCCCACACTGGCTCAGCGGCAGCTTTTTGTAGGCTGGGACCTATTTTTTCTCCACTTTCAGTGAGTAAGAACTACTCATTTTTACTGCTACTGAAAGAAAACTTGCAGGGCACCAAAGAACACACAGCTCCAATCTCCAGGACCATCCCAGAACCATCACTGGTCAGCCCAGCAAGAACGGAAATATACAAAATTCCTGCTCGTTAGAGTCAGCCAAATCAGTCATACGAAAGCCACACTTTGAAACAATGAGAGCATCATAGTTAATGGCACAGGACCAGCTATAGGCATAGTTAGGTGATTTGAGTGTTTAAGGCCATGGGCTCAAACCTTGTCCCAAAGATAAATGAATTCATGGGGTTGTTCACAACATTATAGGTGATGTTCTGTCACTTTAAAAAAGATTATTTCTATTGTATGTGTGTGGGTGTTTTGCCGGCATGTGTATCTGTGCACAGCACATATGCAGTGCCTGTGGAAGCCAGAGGAGCAGGTCAGGTTCCCCGAAACTGGAGTCACTTATGATTTGAAGCACCATGTAGGTGCTGGGAGTTAAACCCAGGTCTGCTCAGACAGCAGCAGCCAGTGCTCTTAACCACTGAGCAATCTCTCCAGTCCCTTCTGTCACATATTTAAGGGGAACAAGGTGATTACAGTTTAAAAAAATCCTGTCTTTATGTACGTGCAGGGATGTGATTATATTCATATCCATAACAATACCTTCCTAGCTCTTTCTTCTGGTTTGGGATCACCTGTGGCTATCTTTTTCTTTCTGTCTGTCTGACCATTCTGAATTGAGGTAACAAGTATGTATACTGAGTCCCATTGACACCCCAAATTATTTCTCCTTGCAGGAAACCTGGGGAGACTGTCAGTACCGTGCATGCCGCACAAGCCTGAGCTCTGAGTTCTGACCCTCAGCACCCAGGAGTGCATGCATGTCTGTAACCCCGGCTCATGCACGTCCTGGTGAGCAGGATGTGTGAGAGAAGTGGCAGGGGTCCCCAAGTCCCCTTAAGGCTATCTCTCTTGACCTGCCTGGTGACTGCAAAGCCAGGCAGAGTCACTGCGTTCATAGCCCATCTTACAAGGGCCTGTTACAAGGGCAGGGAGAAGGCTGTGGGAGGTAAACAGTAGCTTCTAGAATAGTGGAGCTCAAGGACCCTCTGGGGCACCTCAAGTCGGGAGCCAGGGTGAAGTGGCACCCGGCTAGGGTTCCCACAAAAACTGAGGTTGCGGGTCACGGCCTCAGTGCCGCCATTTGGGAGGCAGAGCCTAGAGGGCGGTGTTCAGATCATAGGGTGGAGCCCTTGGGTGCCTGTCTCTCTGGAGCAGTTAGCAGGAGGCATACCCCTTCTCTTCTTTTTCTTTTCACCTGCTCATCCTCCCACTTGTTCTCCATGGCCGGAATAGGGTGAGGCCCTTCCTGAAGCCAAGCGCACACAGTGTTTGCTCCAGTGCCCAGCATGCTGTGGGCCAAAACAAACCCTTCTTTACCATCAAGCCAGGCTGAGGTACCTGTTACAGAAGTAGAAACCCGCTGGGACAGAGGCGGACTAGTCAGCCTTGAGGAGGGGCAGCCATGTGCTGGGGCAAACTATGATGACTTTTTTTTTTTTTGTCTTTGTTTGTTTATTTGTTTTCAAGACATGGTTTCTCTGTATAACAACCCTAGCTGTCCTGGTCTGTGCTTCGTAGACCAGGTTGGCCTCGAACTCACAGAGAACCACCTGCCTCTGCTGTGGGATGGTCTGTATGTTAAATTGCTCTGATTGGTCAATAAATAAAACACTGACTGGCCAGTGGCCAGGCAGGAAGTATTGGCGGGACTAACAGAGAGGAGAAACAGGAAGGCAGAGGGAGTCACTGCCAGCCGCTGCCATGACAAGATGCTGTAAGCCATGAGCCACGTGTCAAGGTATAGATTTATGGAAATAGATTAATTTAAGCTATAAGAACAGTTAGCAAGAAGCCTGCCACAGCCATACAGTTTGTAAGCAATATAAGTCTCTGTGTTTGCTTGGTTGGGTCTGAGCGGCTGTGGGACTGGCGGGTGACAGAGATTTGTCCTGACTGTGGGCAAGGCAGGAAAACTCGAGCTACATGCCTCTGCCTCCCAAGAGCTGGGATTAAAGGTGTGTGCACCACCACTGCCTGGCAATGACCCTCTTTTCAGCCGCCTCACCTGAGCTTTCTTAATTCCTGCCATAAGAGCTGTCGTCAAGGACACCAGGCCACAGTGAGGGCAATGTGGATGGCAAGGACACAGACTCAGAGGTCTGGTCCCTCTGCTCAGGGACACAAAACGGGGCCCAAGGACCCCTGCTAAGAGGAAGTGCCTGAGGTTCCCCATGACCGGGGCAGAGATAGCAACATATTCGCTAACATAGGCACCCAGGTGTTCCACATCTGCTGAGGCAAAGGTTTGGGGTTCACTCTTCTCAGAGCACACGTTAGGAAATTGGGGATCGGAGACTGGTTTGAGATTACCTGTCTAGGATGGGTAGAGGGTGGTCCAGGGACCTCTGATCCTTGAAGTTGTCCTCCCTCAAAGTCGGGGGAAAGTGTGTGACAACCCACATCCCTGGCTCAGGCCGGCAAGTGTCAGGGCTTCCTTTCTGGAGAGGCCTCTGATCATGGGCTTCTCCACTTTCTGCTCCATCTCCACAGCAGGGTTGGAGGAGGCATGATACTCCTTCTGCTTGGCCCTTTGCTTGGAGTACCCCCCACCCTTCCCACCCACCCCCACCCCCTCTACCGTCCCCATCCTCCTCCTCCACACTGTTTGCCAGCCACCCCTGGAGTACTTCCTGAATCAAAGGCTTGTACACAGAGTGTTATCTCCTTCTGGGGACCTGTGTGGCATCAGAGCCTGCCCTGCGCAGCTGCTCTGTAAATATTTGTTGTGTGAATGGGTAAGCAAGCTGGAGAATCACGGGCAGGTGGAGCCTGACAGATTCTTTTGCTAATTGCTGCCCCTCCCTTAGCCTTTGGCCTGGGTGAAACAGGTTGGCCCCTTGGGCAAGCCCCCAAAGCTTCGGAAGGAGGACAGGTGTCTTCTGACAGGGCTCCAACGCTCTCTAATTGAGCAGACTATTGAAAGGTGAGGTCATCTCCCCAGCGAAGGAGGGACCTTTGTCACTTAGGATGCAGCCCCAGGGTGGGGACCAAAGTGTCCCTGTCTCTGCAGTGTCTTATCATTGGAGTGGCTGCTCTGGAACGAAGTAACCTAACCTCTGACCTGGACCACAGTCTAATTCACTCTTTCCCGTCCATTAGCTAGAGAGAGGGAGGGGGCCAGCAGGGAGGGACGACATATTTTATGTTTATGGCATTTTTATTCTCTGTGACCTGTTGGGTCAAACCCAGTCTCTGCTCATGAATTATGCATCCGGGGGAGCCTTTCTGTGTTCCTAATGGCTCTTGTTTAGTTTACCTCCTAGAAAGACGGGGGTGGAAATCAAGTATTTTAGTCAAAAACTTCACCTCTTGCCATTTCAATTGACACTTTCTTAATTGGGTGATTCATTCCACAGAGCACATTGGCAGAGCTTGCAAGCTTCTCCAGGTCTTAGAAAGCATCCTGCCAGGGCTGGGGAGATAGGGCTCAGTGGATGAAGTCACTTGTGCTAAGCCCAGAAACTTGAGTTAGATCCCCAGTTGACTCCCAAAAGTTGTCCTTTGACTGCCACAAACATACAGACACTAAGGAAATAAATGTTAATACATGATTACATAAATCAGCCCTGCTCCCAAGTTTTATATTTGAGAAGACTGGAAACCCAGAGGCCAGTAATAATATGCCCACATGCACACCACTGCTAAGACCCAGCCACTAGAAAGGACTGACTGAGAAGGGAACAGAAAACTGTGTGAGAGAGCACCTGTGCTGGAGACTGAAACAAGGGAATCCCAAGTTCGAGGCCAACCTGTGCTACTTGGCCAGAGCCTGTCTTGAAAAAAAGAAAACAAAAAGTGTGTGAATGTATTTGCCTCACTTGTGAACATCTTTCCTTTGCTTTATTTCAAATACAGGTTCTTTTTGGCAAGGTAGCCCAACAACTCACTCCAAAGTCCAGTGCAGTAAAACAATCACTCAAGGTCTACACTTCTGGATCATGTGTTGGAAGTTTAATGTGGTGTACCAGGAATGGCCTCTTCCTGCCCCACGTACCCCCAAACTCCACAAAGTTCTGCGGAAGACTCGTTCATTCATGTTAATGGGTGATCTCTTGCTGAGACCTCCTAGCCCGCCTATACTCATCCTGTCTGTATGGTTAGGGCTTCCTCACAACATGGCAACTAAGTCTGAGGAAACAAGAGCCAGAGAGGGAAAGAAAGATCAAAGGAAACATCTGTGGACTCCAAGGTCACTTGGTGTCCCTGCCTGTATTAGTTTCTTTCTGTCATCGTGATAAACGCCATGACCAACTTAAGGAAGGGAGAGTTTACTTGGGCTTATGGTTCCATAGGGAGAGTCCAACGTGGTGGAGGAAGTGTGGTTGCAGAAAGCTGAGCAATCACATCCTCAACCACAACACAAACAGAGATGATGTACTAGAAGAGAGGTCATCAACCCTGGAAGCCAGCCGCCAGTGACATACTTCCTCCAGCAAGTGTCCACCTCCTAAATGCTCCACAGCCATCTCAACTCCTAAGAGTCAGGGTTTGGACCCAGTCAAACTCAGCTGATGTAGTTATTTGGTATCCGTCTTTCCTACTAGATTATAATTCCCTTAAGGATGCAGCACGTGTCCAACGTGTATGGTCAGTTCTCCTGAAGCTGAGTCAAGTAGAAGTTAAAGGACATCGCTTGGCTAGTCAGTATCAAAAATCGTCTGTATTGGCTAAAAGCACACTCATTTCTTACTCCTGTGTGAATCTCCCATTTTCTGGGAGCTTACTTCCTTAGAATGGGTTGATGATTGTTTCATTCATTTATTTACTCTTCAATGAGACTGTTGCTTTTCTTAATTGTGGCCAAGCCTGAGAAGGTGTCCTATATGTAAGAGGAGACATAGAGAGTGTTCAGGGAAGCCGGCAAGGTGAAGGCTAGAGGCAGAGCTCCAGGTAGAGGAAAGGGCCCTGGGCAAAGACAAGAGATCACAGTTCAGTGTGACAGATGCATGGTTTGAGAGACGTGTAACAAAAGGTAAGGCAAGGCTTCAGGGTCAAGCAGGGAGGGCCTGCTTACAGCTAAGCCTGAATGTTACCTTAAGGAAGTTGGCCTATCTCTGAGTGCGGTGGGAGCTACTTGGACTAGCCAGATGGCTCACTGGGTATGTATGGCCAGTTGGATGGGTGGGCTGATGGCTAGATGGCTAGATGGACAGATGGCATTCCAGCAAAGTCTTGGTACACCTCTTCCTGAGTCTGATCATTCTTGAGATACTAGACGTGAAGAAAACCCCCACAGAAGAGCGTCCAGGCAGGGTCTTTTCCACCCAGCTCTGTGGACTGACGTCAGTGTCTCCTTAGCAACCAGATCTGCATTGAAAGGACTGGGGAGGGGTGCTATCACTCTGTGGCTGTGAGGACAGCGTCAATGATCCTAGCTCTTGTTTTGTCCACATGGAAGCCATTTGTCATCATTTGGCTATAAGCACCCATATCTGGGCGGGTCCTAGAGGTGACATGTATCCTAAACCTGGACAGTAAGTTTCAGGCCCAAGAGTCTGGGAAACTGTTGGGAGGAAAAGTATGTTCTAGCCATCCATGGTTACCATCTCACCAACCCCGGAACTGTCCCACCAAGGCAGATCTAAGAGATTAGAGACAGCCATCTGGGGACAATCCTTGAGTGCCTGGATTCAGCTTTCCCTGAAGCCACCTGCCTCCTGGATGTAGGCCAATACGTCCCCATGTTGTCTGTCAGACGCAGCTGGAGAGCACTGGTAAAACCGCTCAGGAGATAAAGGCCCTTGCCACTGAGCCTGAAGATGTGAGTTCAATGGGACCCACATGGCAGAAACAGAGAATTGACTTCCTCTGAGTTGTCTTGTGACCTCTACACCCATGCTGTGGTGCGCGCGCACGCGCACACACACACACACACACACACACACACACACATACACACACACACACACACACACACACACACACACAGAGCAGGAGAGAGAGAGACTAGATAAATAAAATAGAGAAAGAGGGAAGACCTGGAGAGTTCTGACACTGAGTGAGTGGTCCTAGGCACAGCAAAGCATCAAGCCATGAAGCCACAGGATGGAGTGGGGGCCGTGTGTACTCCATCACCTGTCAGACACTTCTCCCGCCAGCTCACTCATCACGTCCCTGCTGCAGGAAATCTGCCCTCTTCACTTGTCTTTCCCATCATTTTCCTGGATGCTCCTGTGCTCCCTAAACTGCTCCTTACAAAACAGTAAAGCACTGTTATCTGAGATGGACATGGGCTTGAGATGCAGTTCCGTGTGTGTGTGTGTGTGTGTGTGTGTGTGTGTCGGACAAAACAGCTTTTGCTGAGTGGTTCTGGCTCAAGGTTTCTCTTGAGGCCAGGGGTATCAACCAGGGCTTGTCACCTGTAGGCTGCGGCTACGATACTCAGGATGTTCAAGATGGAGGTGGTGGGAGAAGACTTGGGATCTTGGCCATGGGGACCTCCCTAGGGGCTGCTGAGAATCCTTACATGCCTCTATGATTTAGGAGCAGGGAGGGTAGTTGGTGCCATGCTTTTGATGAATCAACCTCCAAGGTCACGTGTGTCCACCTTCCTGCAGGATTCTCCTGACTGACGGACAGTCCCTATGAACGGGAGGGCGGCACTCCGTCACAAGAACAGAGGGTTGTTTCATGACTTCTGGGCAGACATAAAGACTTGTCTATTTGCACAGACAGGGAAGGCACCAACAGGCCAAAGTGGATTCCATTAAATCCGGCTTCGGTGAGCCAGTGAGCTTGTGGGGTTGCTTACAGGATCATGGGTTACTCAAAGACAGCTGCACTGAGAAACACCTAGTGACTTAGGGCTACTGGACCACTGAAAAGACCCCCAAACAACTTCTGAGCAGCTACACTTCTTAAAGGGGTCCAACCTTCTGCTAGCCTCCCACCTCTGACAGAACCTTAGCAAGGGGAGGGCTCAGGGAGGGATTGGGGAGGATGCCATGAAGGCTCCCAAGCCCTGCTGATTGCTGCCTCCCTCCACTACAGACTGTCAATAGGTGAGTCCCTCAGGTGCTTACCAACCCTCTGATTCAAGACACGTGGGTCATGTCAACCCTGAGGAAACACACACAGCTAAGGGACACAGCAAACGGTGGCCACTTTCCCAAGGGGAAGTGCTGGTTATTAGCATCAGGCAGGCAAGTGGTTTCTTCCTAGCGTGGTGGGGAGGCCTTTGGATGCGGGATGACTTGACATCCCCAAGCATCCGGAAAGCACCCCCTTCCTGCATCTTGTGCTTGCAGGGCCTGTTTCCAAGCTCACCAAAAGCTCCTTAAATAAACTAGTGAACTGACTAAACTAATTTGCTGGTCTGCAGCTTCTGGCGTGCCTGGGGATTTCCTAATAAATACTGGCTTCGGTTTGGCGACTCGCCAGCATCACAGCCCTCTCAGGAGCTGAGCACAGCAAGAACGACAGCACCCTAAGGGGTGGGAAGGTGGCCTGCAGGAGGCCAGGGTTTGCCATCTTTGCCTCTGCCGATGGCGTGTCTGGAGGGAACCTCTTCGTTCTCTCTGCCTCAGCTTCTCTTGCTGGAAAGATGATAAGTAAACGTTCCTAACTGGCAAGGCCGTCGCCATGTTTGGATGAGGCGATGTGACGTTTCCTAAAGGTTGGCGCATGGGATGCTGGGTCACACAAGTCAAACTACTCCAGGACAGGCTCTATGCAACAGTGGGTGGGGTGTGCAGAGCTGTGAGCCCCAGGCCAGCCTTTTCTTGCTTCCTGAACTGCAGGCTAGGCCAGCCTCTTAGGCATCCACCAATGCAGCTGCCCAGGGTCCCGCCCTTGGACTTCCATGCTGGCACAAGCTTGAGATGCTCTGTGTTACCTTAAAACTATGCTTTGCGAGGGAAGTTGGCTGGGACAGTGGAGCCTGTGTCATGGGCGGAGAGTCTCAACTTGCATGCCGCTCCCACCTCCCTCCTTGGAACAAGCTCTTCGCTCCATCATTCTTTCCTCTTGGCCCACAGGCCCTACTGGCCACCCCCACCCTGGGACTAGGCCACTCACAGCACCCAGGACAGGACTAGTGTGTGTCTGCAAAAGAAGGCCCTGTTTGTAGCTATTCTCAGCTTCCGGCAGGGGCTGTGTTCTGAAGAGGAGGGGCCTGCCACCAGTACCCCGTTAGGGCATCTCTGGGCTAGGCAAAGGGGCACTTATCCAGAGGTGGGGCTGACAGGGCCACACAGGATTGGCAGGCAACTCTGATCTGGATCATAAAGAATCTGGAATGTCTGCTGATGTTGGCCATGGAGTGTCCCCGAGAAGGCACAACTGGCTTCCTCATCCCTAGTCAGAGCTTAGGGATAATGTTGGCCTTGACAAAGTGTCCACAGAAGGCAAGACAGTCCTTTTTGCCCCTGGCAAGGCGGCTGGGGACCATGTCTACCATGACTGGGTGTCCATGAGAAGGCACTGATGGCTTCCTGATCTCCGGCTGGGGCCCTCCGTTCTCAGACATTCTCATTGGTCCCACGAAGCGTGCAGCCCATCAGCCTGCAGGGCTTGTCAGACCCTTTAGCAGAAGGGGCAGAAGAATGTGCCAGAATGCAAACTTGGGAGTGGAACTGTCTGGGTTTGGGCCATGGCTCCGGCACTCACTTGCCCCCTCTGAGAACCCACTCCTGCCCCTGTAGGTGGTGGTCAGGGTTCAGGGGGGACTCAGTGGCAGTGGGCAAGTGCCAGGGTGTCTTCTCCCCGCCTTCCTCTTTCTCTCGGCCTTCCTCCCCCTCTTCTTTTCTCGCCTTTCCTTCCCCCTCCACACTGGTCCCTCACCTTCCCTCCTCCGTGTTCTGTCTCCTTCCCTCTGTCTTCTTCTCCTTCCTCCCACCCTCCTTCCCCTCCGCTCCCTGCTTCTCCTCCTCCTCCCCTCCCTCTTCTTGGAATGAGGGTCTCACCGTGTGGCCCAGGTTAGTGTAGAACCCAGGACGCTGTGACCTGGTTTCCCTGTTGCTGGAACTGCAGCTGTACACCACACCAGCCCGAGACTCCAGGGTTCCTGAAAGGTGGGGATGTCCTCTGTCCCCCCTATGGCCCATCACCCAGGTGCCCAGCACAAATGATTAGAAGACTCCGGGTGCTCAGGGAGATCCTGTCCTGACAGAGACACTTCAGGAGGGGACCTCCTGCAGAAGACCTCCACCCTGTCCCAGTCCCACAGATGGTACATTTATGAAGCAGTGTGCAGGGCAGGCGGCAGGAACAGACTGGTGGGCAGCAGGTACACGCGGCCTTTGCCTTCTCTCCCTGTCTGTGTATCTTAGGACTGGGTGTCTCATCTCTGCTGGGAATGGCTCTGTGGACCCCCCACAGGCCCCAGCCACAAAGCCATAACTCACTCCTCCCCCGGCTCCCCCGGCTTTAATTGGGCCAATCTGTCCGCCTGACACCCCGCGTTCTGGTTCATTTTCTTCTCAAAGCCCTCTCTTGTCACTTGACAGATTCTC